ATATATATCTTCATTAAGTTTTATCACTTTATTTACTATTATAATTTTATGCTTTTTTCCAAAACTAGTGTTAAATATAGGTAACTTCTTTCATAATCTTTTTTTTGTAAATTATATATTTAATCATTTAAACTTATGAATATTATGATCAAATTTCTAATAATGATGAGAAAACTATATAGAAGTGAACATCAACCTAATTATTTTTTGTTTTAAGGACGATTTTCTAGAAGAAGGACTAGATGAAACGCAAAGATTCAAACGATGGGTAGACAAATTGCTTAGCTTAGAACAAAATCCAGGCAGTGAAGAAAAACTTGAACGCGAAATAAAAGAAACCATTTTAAATACAATAATCCAAAATGAATTTTATAACAAAACAGGAGATCAAGAAAAATTAATTAAGGAATTAGAAAATGCAATAATTGCATCGGATGCATCAGCCGAAGAAGAAGAAGAACTAATAGAAGACTTAATACAAGAAGATTTGGCAGAATTAGAAAACGCAGAATTTATGCGTAGAAAACGTGCTGATGAAAGAGTTGTTGGAGGTATACCAAGTGCACCAGCTGCCTGGCCTTGGGTCGTTGCTATGTATAGAGATGGTAATTTCACTGTGGAGGAGCTCTCATTAACGACAGATGGGTGTTGTCCGCGGCCCATTGCGTGATAAGTAAGTTTAATTTGTTATCTATAATTATATTAATATAATATGACAATTTTTCCTCAACTAAGGTTTTGGGATCACTACTACGAAATACAAGCTGGATTATTAAGAAGAAAGTCTTATTCTCCTCAGGAGCAATCAAGAACTGTATCACATATTATAGTGCATCAGCTTTATGACAGAACAGGTAAAACGAGCAATGAATTTTATATGTGGGATCAAATATTATTGAAACAAACATACTCGCGTATTTACCAAATTCTTTTTTTCAGACATGATCAATGATTTGGCTCTTCTACGATGTCAGAACCAGTTACATTCAATCGTTGGGTTGCCCTATATGTTGCCATCTCCAAAAAATAGCTGGTGATAATTGGATTTGGGGTCCGCCAGCTGGTACTTTCTGTACAGCTGTTGGATGGGGAGCCACTTATGAACAGGACCGATCGTAAGTAGTGAGAAGTTATTAGTGCATATTGTAAAATTTATGTTAACTTAGGGTAGGGCGGGTAGTTGAGCAAATTTTTACTTAAACGGATGTAGCTCCCCAACGAAAAGTCTCAATAAATTGCTATACGACTTAATGGATTTGTTGTTTATCGCTTAACAAAAGTGTTAATACTATTTTTGGTAATAAGTAAAAATTTAAAAGCTACAGCTGTTGAAATGCAAAAAGTCAAGTATGCTCAATGTACCCCATAATGGGGCAAGTTGAGCACTAAGAAAAGTATAATGAAATCATAGGTTCTATGTCGATTAGTGATGAAATAAAATAAGTTTTTAATAACCAGTTCTATATTTATAGCCTTATGATAGAGAAAACAAATCTTATAGTAATTTTCTTTGAATAATCAAACCCAAAGTAGAATCAACAAAATAATATCGTATTTAGGAATTATTTTGCCATTATATTCAGTATTTTTGTTTAAAATCATTATTTTTTTATATTATTACTCATAGACTTAGCTTAGATCTTAAAAATAATAATTAATTTCTGGAAGTTAATGGTAATTGTCTTAGTGACAGAACAAGTTTAGGGCACTATGCTCAACTAACCCCAAATCGGAATTTCAAAATAAAAGTGAGTTTATAAAAAAACTGTGAGAGAATTATATCCAGAATCATGTGCATTTAAAAGTACTATAATTATATGGAAGAATAACATTTACCTGATTAAAAAAAAATAATATTTGACTAAACCAGACAAAAACTCGTGATGAATTATTTTTTACTTTTGGTCTCAAAATAAACAAAACGCCGTGAGCTCACTCATTTGTCCAGCGGCCACTAGCGATTGCGGGAGTTTATTTCTCCCAAACCTCTATCTTTCCGCCATATAATGCCTAAACGAACGGTGAATAGTTTTCGAGATATTTCGATTGCTCAACTTGCCCCTATGCTCAACTAGCCCCGCCCTACCCTACAATGCATTTTTATTATTAACATGCGACAACATAATAAAAAAAATAGTGGACTTTGGAATAAGTAATACTGATTTTAATAATTGAACATTGTATTAAAATAAGACCTTCTTTCCTGTACGTATGTATGATATATTTCTTTAAATGTTTCATAGCGGATCATTTGAGAGAAGTGGAAGTACCAATACTTCCGTTCTGCAAACATAAAGAAGATGAACGAGGTGCTGAAATATGTGCTGGACTTATGGAAGGTGGAAAAGATGCTTGTCAAGTAAGTATATAATCTAAATATTGTATAAAATAAATACAGATAGATGAATAGAAATAATGTAAATATTTATTATATTAAGGGAGACAGCGGTGGTCCATTAGTATGCCGAAATCCATTAAATGATAAACAATGGTTTGTAGCTGGTGTAGTTAGTCACGGAGAAGGTTGCGCAAGACCCAATGAGCCAGGAGCATATACAAGAGTCAGTCTTTTTAGTGACTGGATTGATATTAAAATAAATTTAGGTATTATATATCTTCGAGTCAAATTTTAACCTCTTATCAAATGAATTTGTATTATGTTTTTCTGTGAAAATAAATGTAAGCATGTGACCTAAGTTGTTGTGATCACAAAGAGCATCTAATTATCTAAAATGAACTCTTCTCTGATCCCTTCTGATTGTATATAATTCGTTTTTTATTGTAAAGTCAAACATTTTCATTTCCACATAAGTAGTACTCAGCTCGCCAATAATATACAAAATTATTTATATGTATTTGTTTTAGTCAGCCAACACGCATTCCAGTAACGTAGATCGATTCTTACGTATTGCTTCTGAATTAATGCATAAGTTAGATTCATTTTGTATTATATTTGTATCTGTTTTAGCGGAAGATAATCTACCCAAACGTACACCGTTGCAAGAATGTCGCGGTTTTGTTTGTACTTGGGGCGGAAATCGGTGCATACCAGCTAACCGGCGTTGCAATGGACGCGTCGATTGCTTAGGCGGTGAAGATGAGAACAACTGCGATTCATTCGGACTCGGGTTGAGAGAAGTAGTTGCTTTAAATCCCCCTCCTGGAGCAGAAAAGAGCAGGTTAATAAAAATCCAATTCGCTTAGTAATCTTAACGTTTCAAGTATGAACAGCTTACAATGCAAATTATACCATACTCAATTAAACTATGTGAACAAAAATGTTGATTTTTGTTGATATTTTCACGCATGTACCAATTTCAAAAGATTTAAATCGTTTGGTTATTGATGAATCTTTTTCATTATTATTGCACACTTAAGTTGCGCTATATATTTTTTAAACTTAAATGTAGTGGACTAACCCCGAGTTATTTATTTTCAGAATGATGGATCCTACCGATAAAGTATTCATTATTACAACATTACAAAATGCTAATAGTACCAACCAGAATAAAACCAATACATCAAATACTAAAAAATTCTTACACTTGAACAACAGCACAAATGCGACAGAAGGCTTTGGAGAACGTCATCCCAAAGCACAACCTGCTCTATTAAATATAACAAATGTAGAAGATGTTCACACACCACCTGAAAGTAAGATTGAAGATAAAGATATTCCTTCTGCAACTACACAAGACGATCTTACAACCAAAGATGAAAACATTGACATAGGTGAACCAGTGACACAGGAATTAGATGAAACTACCGTGGAACCAAAAGTAATTCCCGATGAACCAAATTTAAATATCGCAACAACTGAGTCATTTAATGAGGAAAATGATTTAGAACCCGCAGCTAAAAATTTAGATATAGAAATTTCAACAGTTCAAAATAGTGAGCAAGTAACAAGTATATCCCCAACACTATTACCGGAGATTATATCCACTGAAGGTGATGAAAAAGAAGACAAATCAACAGAATCACCGGCAAAAGAACTTGATGTTGATGACAGATTCCTAGAAGAAGTTACAGAAAATGTATCAGCACACGATGACAACTTATCAGAAGTTACGGAAGTAGACCAAAAACCTACAACAACAATAGCACCAGAAGGAAAAGAATTAAATATTTCCAGTATAGAAGAGAAGACTATACACTTTCCTACAAAGAAACCTGAAGCATCGGACAAACCTTCCAATGTATTTCTATGCAAAAGGTAAATAAAATAGCTAATAAAAATAGCTGATTTTTGCATCCTGATGAACATAAAAATATTAGCCAATTCTCTTAAATTAATAGATTTTTTTAAATGAAATTATGAATTAATTAGTATGTTTTTGCGTAATGTAATAGGATTCCTGAAACAATCCCGATACGACAGCGATGCGATCGAGTTATAGACTGTGAAGATGGCTCAGACGAAGAATTTTGTACCTGTAAAAGAATTTGGAGCACACTCATCCTGACGCCATATGCGATGGTCGTACTGATTGTGCAGATTTAACAGATGAATCTGACTGCCGTAAGTTAATATATTACAACATGCAAAACCTTAAAAACAACCAGTAATATATAATTTATATATAGTGAACTGTAAATCGGATGAGTTCCAGTGCAAAGTTAGCAAACAATGTATTCCTAAAGCAAAACAATGTGATCAAGTTTTAGACTGCACATTTAAAGAAGACGAAGTTGATTGCTGTATGTATCATATTTTTTATTTGCTGTGTAATTAAAATCAACAAAATTTAATCAAATATTTTTCATCAAGTTGCTTTAACTGACGGTCACACGATAACTTTGGATTATGACGGAAGACCTACTTTTAATTCTGAAGGAGTCTTAACAATGAATATTGATGGTGTTTGGAAGGCGGTTTGCGAAGATAATTGGGATGGCAAAGCCGAAAAGACTGCTACTCAAATTTGTGCTTTATTAGGATTAAGGTATTTTTCAATGATGCAAATCTAGTTAATGGTTTAAAAAATGCTGGGTAAAAAATTTATTGATTATTATTTTTTTTTTTTAGAAATTATCGATCATTTGAAAAATTCAAAGTACCAGTGGCGCCTTTAAATGTCATACAATTAGAGCCAACTACTAATATGAATGGGACCTATAGAAAACGACGTTCTGCCTACGATATTCCGCTTTGCAAGGGATTCTTAGTCCATTGCCTAACTGATGCAACAAGCTCCCTACATCCTAAAACAGATGTCCTACGACCAGTGAATGTCTTAGATAACGCCTACCCTTGGCACGCATCTATTTTAATTGAGGGAAAATATAAATGCTCTGGCGTTTTATTAGACAAACGATGGGTTTTGATTCCAAGCTGCTGCATAGAAGGCGTGCAGTAAGAAACAATCAAAGTTCTTTAAATAAAACTTTCGATTGATTATAATATATGATTTTTAGTCCCCAATTTAATTACGTAACGGTTTTATTGGGAGGCCAAGGAAAGTTTTTGGATGTTACTGGCCCTCACGAACAAATTGTTCCTGTTGATTACGCATCTGTAATACCCGAAAGTGGAGTAGCTCTGCTTCATTTAAATGAAAGAGCAGAATTTACCCGTTACGTATTGCCTGTATATCTATCAGACTGGTAATTAAAAACACATAATAATTTGTACAATTTAATAACAATTATGTAATATATATAACGATTTCAGGAATGAAAAAATAAGTTATAAAGACGAGTGTATTGCAATAGGCGTTGATGAACTTTCAGAAGTAGAAGCGATAGCATTAACACCAGTATTAGATAAATGTTCAGGCGGCACTAAAAGATGTTTCTATAGATCAAGCCCTTACAGAAGTGCTTGCGATGTATGTAGTTAAATATTTTAATATATTAAGAAATGGTTATAGCCTTAATTCTAAATCCATATATCATTTTAGGGACCAAAGCAAACTTGGGCAGGCATAGTGGTATGTCACGGGCTTTCAGGATGGTATCCGGCGGCAGTTTTTAAGGAAGAAAAGGGAGAATGCGGATTCCAGGGAACCGTCATTCTTGATGCGCTGGCACATTTAAAAACGGATATATCCAATGCTATTTGTAAGTTAGTAACAATATAAGTATATCCAAGAAAATGTAGAAGTAATATGACTAATTTCACAGCGACGAGAGTGACATTCAACCCTCTACCTGTGTGTCACAATGGATGGAGATGTCCACGAGGCTTGTGCTTGTCTTTATCAAGAGTCTGCGATGGCGTACCAGATTGCACTGATGCAAGTGATGAACGACAAGATCGCTGTATAACGAAACGATTGGGATGTGTTGATTCCTTAAATATTACCGATCCTCATTGTGGTAAATATCTACCATATACTTTAGTTTTCATAACCCACATTACATTAATGCATTTCATTTCTTTAAAAGAATTTATAATTCAAATTGTTTACATAATGTGATGTATCATTTGCAAGTTCAAATTAAAAATACGCGTTTTAAATAAGTAAGATGTATTATAAGAAACCTATATATATGTCTAAGTAAGTTATGCTTTCTTCAGTGATAAACGGAACTTTATTTAACTTGTTGAGAATTTATGATATTAACATAAAAATTCTGAGAAGTAAAATAGCATTACCACTGTTTGTAATTAAAAAAAAATTCAGTACGATTTATATACTTGTAAAATGCTACATATTGCCATATATAGTTCTATTGCTATAAAACAAAAATTCGATTCCAGCATGTATGGCGTCCGAGTTACGATGTGACAACGGTCTTTGCGTGCCTAAATCTTCTTTCTGCAACGGTGTTAACGACTGTGGTGATTTAAGTGATGAGCCTGCAGTTTGCACGTGCGCCTCGTACCTGAGGCTGACTGCACCTCAAAGGCTATGCGACGGTAACAGAAATTGTTTGGACAAAACAGACGAAGATCCACACATGTGCCGTTGTACCGAGGGTAGATTCGAATGCGGACAGTGAGTTTCTGTATATTTTAATTTGACTATGTATTTGAAAAAAAATTAATGCGTAAATAGAAAAAAAAGTTAAACTAAGATAACAAGAAATGAATGAACTATCTTATTTTTGAATAATTTGTTTTATATTGTTCTGTATGAAGCGATCGTAGTAGTAATTCATTTGTAATAGAGATTTTAAACAATTACAAACAGATCAATTATATAAAATACAAAAAATATTACTGAAAATCCATGATTTGTAATTTCAAATTTCGGAGCATCATTGGCAGTGAGAGAAACTAAATTTGATTATCCAATTCATGAATATTAGATATGATTAAAAAGATTTATTAACTTCCCGTAGGGTAATTAACTTTCCGTAGGGTAAGTTATTGTAATGGGCCGAAAATCGGAATTGAAAATTTTTACATTTCTCGACGTTTTGAAGGTTTCTGAACGTTTTGGCATACTTCAGAAAAAATGAATGTGTGTGTGTGTGTATGTATGTATGGATACAAATTTCCAGTCACGTTTTCGGGCGCACGGATCAACCGATTTGAATGTTCAAAAACATTCGATTCCTATTGATAGGGAAAAGAGCTGATTAATTTTTGGCGAAGGCAGGTCCAGTCGTTTCGGAGATACGGAGCAACGAGTGCAGAAAAAAATCCTTTTTAAGAGAACGGAGTATCCGATTTGAATGATCTAAAAAACATTCAATTACTAATGATTGGGAGAAGTGTTTATTAGTTTTTGGCAAAGGCAGGCTCAGCCATTTCGAAGATACGGAGCTAAATATGTGAAAAATGGCAGTTTTTGAGAGAACTAAGCGTCCGATTTAAATGATTCAAAGAACTTTCTGCTTGTCTCAACAAAAGAATTGATTTTGGAAAAAAAAAATTGTATAGTTTTTTTTTTTTTTTTCTTGTATATCGAAAATAATTCAGATTTTATTTTTATTCTGACTAAAGTTCTAATATAACTTAAACAAATAATTTTAAATTTGCAATTCAGTTTATATATTTCTTATAAATAATAGACAATGTTACAATATTTATAATAATCTATTTGAAAACATTCAGTATTCCTCGAACATTTCGTTACGGTACGGGAAGTTCCAGCAATTTGCCTTAAGGCACGATGCCACCCACCCCACTAGTTTGTTTTTTTTTTCGAAAAATTATCAATAATATCATAAAAAATATCAATAATATCATAAATTTTCAGATCTGGCTTCTGTGTACCAAAAGACTTTTTGTGTGATGGACAAAATGATTGCCCACACGGAGAAGATGAACGACATTGTTACAGCGTTTCTGGGCATAATAATGAACAACCGTAAGTAAATATGTAATAATTACGAGTGATTATTACGATTCTTCTTCACGCAAAATTATATATAAACCTAACCGAATAATTTCACTTACCATTTTCAGTGGATATGGCGAAGCAATACAGCAATCCTTCGGAGTGTGGCATACGTATTGCTCACCTGACAATCGACCTCCGGACATAAACCTTATGTGCCGCCAGTTAGGCTATACTACCGGCAGATCGGCCGTCGACGAGCCGCTGATATAGACACGCCACCGACCGCTCCCAAATTCGATACATTCCGTTCTGTTGATCTATCGCCCGAAGTCAACCTGGGATTGCGTGGAGACAGGCCACTTGCGACCGTTGTTGAAAGAATCGACGAACATTGCCAAAGAATATACCTGGAATGCCGATAAACTGTACAGTTTATTTATTAATTTAATTAATTATTTATGTATTTATGTATGTATTATTTATTATTTAATTTATTACTGTAATATATTATTTTGTAATAAAATGAGTAGCATCAAATTTCGTTATTTTTGGTGTTTTGTATGATCTGCTTCACATTACTTTTGATTTCCTAGGTTATGAAAGTATATTGTTTAATTATTTGTTTTTTTTTAATGCGAACCACCAAGTGGTAAAGATTTACATTTCATTTTATTTAACCAGTTAACTATGACAAGCTCATTTAACCCTCCGTCGGGCGCAGCCGATCTGACTGATACAGGGCCAACATTTTGTGACACAGATTTGTGTCGTAAAAATCAAAGTGGAATTTTGTTTTGGGGTAAAATATCGTTTACAACTATTCATTTTATATCGACCAAGCCTCAGAATATTCTATATATCTTAAAATTTGAGATTGTTTTTTTTTTTTTCAAAAGTTTCAATCTAAACAGTATAAGGTCAAAGATTTATACCCATGACAAATATACTCATCAAAAGTCAAAATTAAGTTAAGTCAAATTCTCAGTAGTACATACTCTCAGTATAAACTGTTAAAATCTTTGATAGAGATGAGAAAATAGTTTATGTAAAATGAAACGATGTATATATAAATACTGAATATTTTGGTATAAAAGATATAAATATACTGAATATTTTGTTACAAAAGATTCGAAATATTTATAGGTTGAAAGTCATTACTTATTTAGAGTATATTACAAAAATTAAATAGAAATAGCAACTTGCACGTATTTTCCACATTGACAACTTGAACTCATCAATCACAATTAACTGATTAAATCACTGTCGCTATTTCTGGTATTTATAGGTAGTAGCACAAATTAATTTAGTACTACTTTAGTTTCATATATCAAGTGTGATACTTGAATTGTACACATCTACTTGTATATAAAACAAATTGGGGTTACAATAAATATGAACCGGGAGTTTTAACTTCCCGTAGGGTAAGTTATAGTAATCGCAAACAAATACTAAAATTCATGATGTAAATATGTTGGGTTGATGATTTAATTTCGAAGGCAGTTTAAATATATTTTCAAATTAGTTTACAATAATAACCAGATAACTTTGAAATAATTATTAATATAATGAAAAAATGCAAGAAATGCTTTGAATAAGTGCATCTGTTCAAAAATTGAATGGCTTGCATGCAAACAAGTAACTTGAATGATTCGATTCAATTCGAATCATGCGAGTAACTTGAATATTTCTAATCAATTTGGTTCATGCGAGTAACTCAAATGATTCAATTGAATTCGGATCTTGCGAGTCACTCAAATGAGCCGATTGAATTCAGGTGGCTGACATGATTTAATTCATCCTTTTTAATTTTATATTCATGTTTATTGAAAAATATGTTTTTTATGTTTATTAAAATTTATGTTGATACATATTATATCACAGTAAACATTTCTCGGCTTGATGCAAGTTGATTCCAATCAAATAAAATGTGATTCAAAACGGGTTGATAAGGGCTTGAGTCGAATCACTTAATTTAAGTTGGATCATATATATTATATATACATATACATATTCATATATATACATATATATATATATATATATATATATATATTTATTTGTAGTAACACTTACAGGGCAGACAGGCATTCTTCCGTCTAAAGCTTGGATACTAGATTATTAACTATATCAACTATTCAATAATCTTCTTTTTTTTCTATTACTTTAATGAATTATGAGCATAATAAATCCTAAAGAATAGTGTTCCTAAATAACATCTCTGCTGAAAGCAAATATAAGAAACGCAATTAATAAAAAACATATGAAGACTGAATTAGATATATATATATATATATATATATATATATATATACACATATATATATATATACACATATATATATATATATATAATTGTACAAAACTTTCTAACAAGAATACTGTTCACACAGTTTGCACTTTAAATAATCTTAAAGTTGTAAAAATGTCTCGAAACGCTTTTTAAAAAACTATACATTACATCCAGAGCAGATCAATAATTTAAAAAAAACCATTGAACGATTTAAATAGTTCAATAAAGTAATAAATTGCAAAATTGAAGTGTATTTATTTTTTTATTATGTATTCATAATAAATAAAATTTTCATTTTCAAAACTTTGGTCTCTTTGAAAGAGCAGTACTTGTATTAATGTTTTTGTATGTAATGTATATTAAACTAAAGTCTTTAAACAAAGCTATAGTATTAAACAAATTATATCATTTTAAAATTTATAGTATAGATTCAAAATAAAATGAAAAATTTTTATAGTTTTAGCAATTTGTAATCTGTGCCTAAATTCTAAGCTGAAAATAAATCAATTTGTTTTGATTATTATTTTATCCTGAATCAAATTTAAAGATCAAGGAATTTGATGAAGATTATAAGAAACTTGATTTTATTTATTATTAAAGATTTGTTACTGTTTTATGTAGTAAAAAACTAACACTATATGGAGTGGTATAAAATTATTCAATGCGCTTCCCCAAAGAAATAAAGATGATCAAAGAAAAGGATCAATTTAAAATTAAGTTAAAAGAATATTATAAAAAAATGCAGATAAATAAATTAGACCAAAGCATGAATCTAAAAATGAATATACGTACGATTGAATTATAGAATAAATGATATAAAATGTTGTAATGACCATAGATATGTAGTATAGTGATATGTAGAAAATATATATACAGTAGAACCTCGATTATCCGGACATCGGTTATACGGATTCGAGTTTATGCATGTACATACCTACAATTCGAATTTTTGCACGATTGATTCTGCAGTTTAGTATATGTATGTAATGTAATCTAAGAAAATATATATGTAAATACATAAGTTTCAATTTCTTAATAAATATATATTTAATATTATTTTAGTTGATATCTATGTATGTATTTGTTATTTTTAATAAATACACAACATTATTTCTCATACATTCAATTATACGGATTTTTAATTAACCAAATGCTTATCGACAACAATTAGTCCGGTTAATCGAGGTTCTACTGTATATATATATATATATACTTTGTATAGATATTTTGTACGATCTCTCATACCAGGCACTGCTGCCTGTCTGAGATGTATAAATTTTATATTAAAATTCAAATAAAAAAAAACTAACTTAAGATGTACAATCTGTCGACCACTTATACCTTCAAATTGCTCTCTAAAACATAAATGTTCATCCAGTTATTGTATGATATTACATTGTCTGTGCAAATATTTATTTAGCATTTTGATCATACATGAGATGCTAAAATCTTATATAAAAATGTCTTAATACTAAAAAATTAGATATATTTAGATATTATACAATACCTTCAAATGTACCACTATCATTAACACAAGTTGTTTCTAGGTTGATTAAATTATATCAGAATGATGAAATACATTAAAACATACATCCTCTTCTAGTGCCAACAAATATCCAATTATTTACTGTTTACATACAATATAAGATCCAGAATATCTGTGAAAATGCTTTGATGATTGTTAGTAGAGTTTCTCTCAAATCCTTCACATTAACAACAACCAAATGTAAAGTATATAAATTATTGTAATGTCTAATCTTTAGCTGATTCTGTAAAAAAAGTTCATACGATTTACTAATTGTATGACAATACAATCTTTAGTTAATGATGTTAATAAAACATGCATCAGTTAAATTTCATTAAGGATCTTCATTATTTTTTGAGCATTCATGACAGTTTTTGTGCATTTAGTCTATAAATTGTTGAAATTTCGCCAATTTGGTTTATGGTCTTCATGTCAAATATTGTAATAATAACATACCTTCTACATTGTTTATTTGAAATGCTGCAGAAAATCATTGTTGTAGTTGACAATTCTTTGAAGTTTCACAAAAAGTTGGTTATGATTTGAAGTTTTGAATCTGAATCATAATAAAAGTAACTGAAAATATAAAACAGTACCAGCTACATCTTTTAATGTTATTATCACTTGTTAAAACTTTTATAAACATTATTTTTATATTTTCTTGACATCATTAAAAAATTGTGGACATAATTAAATTCCAACCTCCTCTCCAACGTTTGGTTAATAAAAAAATATATAGGTAATAATATAAATACATTTGGCTAATATTCTGCAAGTACTATAACAGTAGACCTTATAATATATATGTACTATAAGATCTAGGACTAAAATTCGAACACACATTTATTTAATATATTATCAAAGAAATACCTAAAATTTTTCACGTTGACATTTTCCTCCTGAGTCACTTAAAAAAGTTGCTTATGATTTCAAATTTTGAATCCAAATCACAATAAAAGTAATGCTATGTATACTTATCTATGATGTGAGGCCTCTCGAGTGCAAACAGTATGAATTTTCAGCTTTTCAAGAACTAATAGTAAAATTATTACAAAATTTCTTTGGCCACAAACAAAAACTGCTATGTGAGGTTTCTCGATTGCAAACAGTAAGGATTTTAAGCTCTTCAAGACTTAATGGTATAAGTATTACAAAATTTCATTGGCTATCAACAAAAACTGCTTTGTGAGGTTTATCGAGTGCAAACAGTAGGAATTTTCAGCTTTTCAAGACCTAATGGAAAAATTATTACAAAATTTCATTGACCACAAACAAAAACTGCTTTCTGAGGCCTCTCGAGTGCAAACAGTAGGAATTTTCAGCTTTTCAAGACCTAATGGTAACAGTATTACAAAATTTCATTGGACAAAAACAAACAAAAACTGCTATGTTAGACTTTTTGAGTGCAAACAGTGGGGATTTTCAGCTCTTCAAGGACTCCGAATGTGTATTACA